CTCCACCCTGGATCAGCACTTTCTTTATGAGCCTGTGGATTGGAACCCCCTCTTTTCTGAATTCTCCTGTACAGAATTGCCTAAAGTTCTCCAACGTTCTAGGCACAAAATCTGCAAAGAGCTGGATTTTCATGTGGCTAAAATTTTGGCTGGCATCAAAGAGTACCACTGGGTTGACTGGGCTTGAATTTGCCACTTCCATGCCTCAGAAGCAGTATTCTTGTACCATGGGCCAGATTCATACACCTGTGCCTTGTGCTCTTGCTTTTGCTTTCTTTAGCTTTTTTTTTTTTCTTTCTTTCTTTTGCTTTCTTTGCACCTCTACCACTCCTCCTCTACTCCGTGGATGTCCCAGCTCTCTGCCTCCTTGAACTAGGTAATTTAGTGTGCAGGAATCTCAAGGTTCAAAGGATGAGCTCCATTCTCGGTTTTTCCTTCTTGATGGTAATAAGATCCCCGTTCCTGCTTCTGAGACGGTTCATTTAAAACCCAGAAGGGTGGAAAATGACCACCCCTCATGTTAGAGTTCTGTCCATGATCCCACCCATTCTTTTGGTGGGAGTTCCGAAGAATCTGACTAGAAGAGCCATAGCAAGTGATTCATTGCCCCACACAAGCCAACCGTTTTTAGGTGGATCGTGTGTTTTAAGGAAGGTTGAAAGATCTCAAAAGTAAGACATGAGGGACGAATGCCAACCTTGATGAATGAAGAACGTGGTGGAAGTCCAGAATCTGTTAAAAGAAGTCCATAGAATTATAAAATTATCATCGATGTGTAATAGCTACTAAAAGTCAAATCACACATGGCTCAGCATTTGCAATTTTAAATGAACATGGCCTCAGCAAACTTTGGTTTGATGGATGCCAAAAGCTTTGTATGAAGGTCAGTCATGCAAAGGCCGATCTTTCCATCAGTCTTTTAAGCAAGCTTGAAGCGAATAAAGAGGATTTTATGGAACAAATCATAGCCAGGGATGAGTCTTGGATTTACCAATATCATCCTAAGGACAAGGTCCAATCAAAGCAATGGCTTCCAAGGGGATCTGCCAAACCAGTTAAATTCAAGGAACAATTGAACCAATATGCAACATTATGATAAATAAGAGAAAATGTTGAAGTTATTGCGAATTTCATTTCACTTGGACCCAAAATCAGTGCTGATGGAAGCAATAGCCAAGAAATCCAATGCTATGTAATCTGCTGCACAAGACCGCCTTAAATTGTTGAAGATCATTAATGTTACTTTGAAGATGCACCTTATCCCAAGCCATGGCATTTTCAATGACCTCATATGAATGTGAAAGCTGCAGAGTGAGTAAGGGAGACTGCAGAAGAATTGATGCGTCTGGTTATGCTGCTGCTGAAGAAGGTTGAAAGTCCTGTGGACGGCCAGAAGAGCAAACAGTCTGTCGTGGGGGGAAGTACAGCCAGACTGCTCGTTAGCAGTGAGGATCGTGAGACTTCAGACATGTACTTTGGACATGATATCAGGAGAGACAGGGCCAGGGAAAAGAACTTGGTTTTCCTCTCGTTGTATTCACTGCATTTATCATAGTGAGATTCGAAGATGTTAAGTTGAATTGCCATCATGTTAACTAATGAAAAAACAACCACCTTTTATTGTGATTTAAGGTGAAGGTTTACAGAGAAGATCATCAATTTTACATTCAACAACTCATAACATCTGTCGTCTTGCTTTATTTTAATAATTCTTGCCCAACCCTTTTACTGGATATTGTCATTCCTTTCACCCAGATTAACACCTGCCAACCCTCTGGCCTGAGATTGCCCTTCTCTCCATTCCCCTTCAACCCTGTCAACAATCAAGGTTCCTTCTTGCACTTTTCCATAGATCTAGAGATTAGTCTCTTGTCTGATAAGTCGTTGCCAGACTTTCTTCCCCTCACTGTGGGTTCAGTGAGTCAGAATTGATTAGATGGCAGTGAATTTGTTTCTCTTTTTGTTCTTTTGGTGAAATCTTTTGATGTACATATGTGTAATTTTGAGTAGGTCCCAACCATCAATTTGGTCTTCTGCTCTGTGTCTATTTTTCATTATATTGGATAGTGTGCTTATACCCTGTATTAGGCTCCCAAGTTTGTCCCTATTTTTTCATTTATGATCTTTATAGTTGTAGCTTTTTCATTTAGATCTTCAATCCATCGGTAGCTTCCTTTTGTATATGGAGTGAGGTATGGCCTTGTTTCATTCTTCAGTAAATGGAGATCCAATTCTGCTAGCACCATTTGTTGAAGAGACTATCTTCCCCATTAAATAAATATTTTAAAATGTGCTTTGTTACAGCAATCTCTCTTAAAAAATGTGCTGCCTAAAATAAGCTGATACAGTGTCTGAATGTTCTGCTGTGCACTCATAGATTAAGAAAGGAAAAAGCCGAGGAGGAGCAGAGAATTATTTGTTGAATCCAATCAGAAATGGTGGTCAGCCAATGTTGACATAGTTTAAGTTGTGACCTGGGAAACACTTTTGGAAAATTCTAGTTTAATGAACTTTTGATATGTGTGGCAAACTTCTGTGGCTCATACATTGTCTTAGAATTAGAGAATGATATTATATAGGTACATTGTAGTGGGTAGAATACTGAGGACATAACTTTGTAGGTGAAAGATTTTATGATGTGAATTCTTTTCTTTTGAAATGGTTCATGATAATTGTGTAGAATCAGTTTTGGGTTCTCATTGAACAGAATCTGCATCATCTTTTAAATTGTTTGGCATTTAATGACTTCTATTGATCTCATTTTGATCCTGAAAATACTATTCTTTTTCTTATGAAAAATAATTTTCATAATGGAGATTAGGCATTGCAGCTAAACAAAAAAGGGAAATACTGAGCTCACCGATAATATTTTATTCTATATCTTTTCATCTCTTTCCCTCTTATGTTCTGTATATATTTCAAAGAAAAGTTCTTCAAGGGGTTCTTTTCATGAAAATGATATGAAAGAGCTTTGTAACCAATAACTGTTTCAGGAATATTTACAATTTTAACTTTCTCAGTCTCTACATACACTAACAGACTTTTACCATTTCTAACCCGTGTATTATCACATAAGTTAGGTAAAGCTCACAAATACATATTGCTAACCTCATCATTCCTTTTGTAGTTAACGTGTTTAGTTTTTGAGATTCTGCTTTCAATATAGAGTAGGAGCTGGCCTACATAAAAATCGTATGTTGAATAAAAATATCTTACATGTTAATAACTATTTTTAAAAAGTTTTTGTTCACATTCTAATTCAAAATTGATATTAGAAAGGAAGAGAGAGAGGACAGCATCCTGGCCCACCAAGCTTTGAGGATGACATTCTCACTCGGATCAGCCAGTGCACATAGAGGACTGTAGGGTCGGCCCCACCACAAGACACGACCTCCCCTACTGACGCACAGTGCTACAGGGGGCAGCCCTGGAAACACTGTGGGAATTGTGCCCGGTCGGATCCCCCCCCCCACGAGTATAACAGGAAGGGGGCACAATAAAACAGCAAGGGGAGCAAAGCAACAAAGTCCCCAAGGAATCTGAAAATAGACTTCAGACTTGGGGGGCAGGGCTTGCCACTATTATCAGACCTCATAGGAAAACATTCATAAGGGTCAGCAGACAGATCTGGAACTATTCAAAGGTATTTCTTTCTTTTTTTTCTTGCCTATATAAGATAGGCAGGCTAAACAACCCCAAGGAGAAAATAATGGGACCGATAGATCCTGGGGGCCAGGGGAGAGGTGGAGGTGGGGGGAAAGAAGCAGGGAGCCAACAAACCCAGGGACAAGGGAACAACAAGAGATCTAAAATCGATGGCCAGGAGGACATAGAATGCCTGGTGGGGTTTGACCAAGTGCAATGTAGCTGAGAGAAAGTACAGAGAGCCGAAAGAAGGTCGAATGTGATAGTGGAACAGGAGGAAAGTAAAAGGAAATAGTGGAAAGAACTAGGAGGAAAAAAAACATTTGTAGAGGTATAAACATAGGCATGTACATATGTGAATATATTAATATATAATTATAGGGATATAGGCCTATGTACATGTATTTGTAGGTTAAGTATTAAATGAACAGACCAACATTGGGCCTCTATTCAAGTCCTCCCTCAACACAAGAACATTTTGTTCTAATAACCTGTCATTCTGTGATGCTCACCTTTCTGACATGATCGCTGAACACAATAAGCTAATGTGGTGAAGAAAGCTGATAGTTTCCAGTTGTTAAAAGGTACAGTGTCTGGGCTTGAAGTTAAACAAGTGGCCACTTAGCAGGGAAGCAACAAAGCCCACATAGAAGAAACATGCCAACCTGTGTGAATACGAGGTGTCAATGGGTACAGGTATCCAAAGACCCAAAACAAATAATCATATCGATTGAATGAGGGGCCAAAGTGGAGACCCAAAGCCTATCTGTAGACAATTGGACATATCCTCACAGAAGGGTCACAAAGAAGGGATGAGTCAGCCAGGGTGCAATATAGCACCTATGAAACACAATATTCCTCTAGTTCTTTAATGCTTCCTTCCCTCCACTGTCTTGGGGGGCTAACGAGGAGAAAGGGAAAACTGATCACAATGATCAGTATACAACCCACAC